AATATTTCAAAAAAATAAAATGGACGAAACACGCTTGAACCATGTCATGAGTGTTGGAGTTGTATAGTTTGTCCACCAGAGGGCACTCTACACCGTTCCATACATACATTGTTTGAATAACAATTAAAAGATCATCCCCATCAGTTCTCTAAACTCAAATAAGCAGGACAAAATTTGTGACTATCATGTCCAGTTTTGCTGCTGTTAAATAAGCCGAGAGTGAAGCGGAATTATCTAGTAATAATTACGTTACGTTGTTGCAGTGTAGTTGACTGACTTTTGACAATATGACTAAAGTATTTCTTTAATAGCGCGTGACAGTTACAGCAATGAGACGCATCATCTCTCCTCGGCCTGTTATATTGAAAATTTATGTTTTACAATTTGCAGTATGACGTTATCCATTGCTAAATTATGGCTCATCATAGACTAGCTAACCACAAAGCTAGCTAATGCCACTATCATCAGTCTGTTCTGTTGTGACAATAAAAGAAACAAGTTTCTTTATAAAATGCGTTATCATATTATTTTAGTTAAAACTCATAAATAACTACAAATAACTAATGTTAGGGAAATCTGTTAATGTTTTGTTGCGCGTTTCGGAATAAAAAAATAAATAAAACAAATATCGGCCGATATATCGGATTTTAAAACCAACAAATATTTGTATCGGTATCGGCCTTCAAAATCCTTTATCGGTCGGGCTCTAGTTATAACCTGCTTGTGGTTTTCTTAACTTTATACAGGCTTCAAAATGTATACATTTTGGATTAACTTGTAAGGGTCACAACTCTTTGTTGAACACAGATCTTATTTTTTGCGCTTTTCCAAAAGTCTATGGGGAAAATGCGTCGACTTCTCGACCCATGCGCATCCTGACAGCATTATCAAATTAGATACAACTATTTACTATAAGCTTTTTATTTAAACCTAGTTTGTTTAAATGTCCAATTATGATTAGAAAAACGTTTTTTCTTTGCCAGCGGTTCAAGTTGGAGAAGCCCATTCCACGCGAGCCTGGTAGTAAGGGCGCGTGCGCGTGTGTGTGTGTGTGTGTTAGCTTGTGCCGTGACTTGTTTGTGCTCATTTCTGTCCTGTAGGCTACATGTCACTCTCTCCTGTCTAAAGCATCTGTCAAAGACAGAAAGGAAGTGAGGAAAGCAGTAAGTGTGAATGGAGGATGTATCTGCTTCCTGTCCTGATTCACTTCATTAATCTAAGACTCTTGTGCACCTGCATTACTGTCATTACATCCAATCATATCTACTAATTTCCTGATTTTTGGCAAGCTGAGATTTCACTGAATGTTCCTCTTAGCACCAACATCAACAACACACAGCAAACTTTGTAGCTCCGGACATCATCTTTGCATGGGCCGTAACTCTCAGGAATGGAAATTACCAGGTCACTGAATGCAAAGTATTGTGGGTAATGTAATTCGTTAACAAATTCCACCCCCTCTTGAATGCCAGTTTGATTTTATGCTTGATCGTTCAACCTGAAACGTTAAAAGGCATTTCTCTGTAGTGTATTTTTAAATGCTTTGCTTTTTTCTTCCTAACACTCTTAAAGGTCACTCACCGGTGAAGACCTCCGCCATCATTAGGTCAAAGGTGCCTTTTCATTCAGATAGTTCCCTCACAGAACCTCATGTTATCAGAAATCATCATATGATCGACTAGACCTCCACTAATCCATGACTTTAAAATCACACTAGAGATTTTGGTTCTGGTTTATAACTATCTAAATGAAATAGTGCCGTGTTACGCCAGCCACAAAACCGTTCCTATATGTGTTTGTGTGTCCTGGTTTCAGGTTGTGAGTCAGCGTTTCCCTCAGAACAGTATTGGAGCTGTAGGTAGTGCCATGTTCCTGCGTTTCGTGAACCCAGCTATAGTCTCTCCTTATGAGGCCGGGATTCTCGACAAAAAGCCTCCGCCCAGGATAGAAAGAGGCCTCAAACTCATGTCAAAGGTGAGAGTTTTTGGCATAGAGAATGAGATTATGCTAGTTAAAAAAAGAAATTGTCCATGCTGTAAATAAATAATCTTAGCTGCTCATCCGAAATGATCTACCGCGTCAAAACTAGGTCCATGATTGGGAAAGCCAACTGATCAGCAGGGTTTATTTAAGCAAAAACCACTAAAATAATGCCTAAAATAGTTGTAAAATGACTTTAAAGGGATAGGTCACTTTGAAATATGTTTTTGGTATGTTTTAGCTTTCCTTAAGGGCATCCAAGTTGTTATAGGTGTCTTTGTTTCCGCAGTTGTTTCGATTTTGATATTTTTAGGTCAAACCGTTCTTGTCTGTCAGTCATATAATGGAGGTCTATGGTCACCACCTCAAAGAGCATGCACAGAGAAGTCCAAATTAAACATGATTTAATGACTCGTAAATGTAAGTACACATTGATGGCCTAAGACACGAAACGAGCGGTTTGTGTGAGAAAACCAACAGAATTTATATCGTTTTACAAAGCGCTCCCTCAGATCTCTTGGACGTGGCCGTGGTTAGAAGAGGTGAAAAGTATATAAATACTGTTCGTTTTCTCACACAAACCGCTCGTTTTGTGTTTTAGGCCATCAATGTGTACTTACATTCATGAGTCATTAAATCATGTTTAATTTGGACTTCTCTGTGCATTCTTTTTGAGGTGGTGACCATAGACCTCCATTATATGACTGACAGACAAGAACGGTTTGACCTAAAAATATCAAAATTGAAACTACATCTGAAACTACAAAGATACCTACGTCTTGGATGCCCTTGAGGCAAGCTAAAACATAATTTAATTTCAAAGTGAACTATCCCTTTAATGCATGCCCTTAACTGTACTTTACTTTTATGGAAGCATGATGAAAGATCTTGTGAAAGTTGTAGACAAAACAGAAAGATTTGGACTGTTTATTAAAGACATTTTTCACCTGTCTGCAGATCCTCCAAAGTATTGCCAACCATGTTTTGTTCACAAAAGAAGAGCACATGAGGCCTTTTAATGACTTTGTGAAGAGTAATTTTGATGCAGCCAGAAGGTAAGAAAGCAATCGTTGGGTTTCAGGATGGGATTCCTGCCACCAGCAAGGGTAACTTTTGGGTTTTCTTCTAGATTTTTCCTGGACATCGCCTCTGACTGCCCAGCGAGTGACTCGCTCAACCACAGCCTGTCGTTTATTAGTGATGGGAACGTTTTGGCCCTGCACAGGCTGCTGTGGAACAACCAAGAGAAAATCGGCCAGTATTTGTCTAGTAACAGGTGAGCAGGGCAGTGTGTGACGCGTGTTTTTATTCGGCTCATAGGGCCAACATCCAAGAGACTCTTATTGAAAGTGGACATTTGTTTGTGAAAGTTTAGACATTTTTTAGAATTAATTTTTTTTTAGCTTATTCAAATTTCAAAATTTCACTTCAATTTCACTTTTACCACTCAACTTGTTTCTCTGTGATCTGGTTGGTTTGAAAAGATGCTGTCTTTAAAGAACAGCTGATTTATTGTAAAAAAATATTTATCTTCCGTCATTTTGACTGACTAGGTTGTATGTTTTCGGTCATGCTTATATTTATCCATCTGTAAAATATTGTAATATAAGCAATAGAATTATTGATGATTCTCAATGAAGTTTCAGCCAATCAGACTACCATTTTCCTTAATCTTCAGGGATCATAAAGCTGTTGGAAGGAGGCCTTTCGATAAGATGGCCACCCTGCTTGCTTACCTGGGTCCCCCAGAACACAAACCTGTGGCGGACACTCATTGGTCAAGCCTGAATCTCACCAGCTCCAAATTTGAGGAGTTTATGACAAGGTAAAAATTAAACTTTAAAACTTAAAAAAAGGTGGGGTTTTCTTGTAAAAAAACATCTAAACATTCTTAAAATAGACAATTTTTTTTTTTTTTTAAAGGGATAGTTCACTTTGAAATTAATTTTTGGTATGTTTTAGCTGTCTTTGTTTCCACAGTAGTTTCAATTTTGATATTTTTAGGTCAAACCGTTCTTGTCTGTCAGTCATATAATGGAGGTCTATGGTCACCACCTCAAAGAGCATGCACAGAGAAGTCCAAATTAAACATGATTTAATGACTCGTAAATGTAAGTACACATTGATGGACTGAGACACGAAACGAGCGGTTTGTGTGAGAAAACGTTTTACCTCTTGTAACCACAGCCACAAAGCGCCCGCGCACTCAGATCACATGGGCGTGGCTGTGGTTACAAGAGGTAAAAACGATATAAACACTGTTCGTTTTCTCTCACAAACCGCTCGTTTCGTGTCTCAGGCCATCAATGTGTACTTACATTTACGAGTCATTAAATCACGTTTAATTTGGACTTCTCTGTGCATGCTCTTTGAGGTGGTGACCATAGACCTCCATTATATGACTGACAGACAAGAACGGTTTGACATAAAAATATCAAAATTGAAAATACTGTGGAAACAAAGACAGCTAAAACATACCAAAAATTAATTTCAAAGTAAACAACCCCTTCAACATTTGTACTTAAACCCCAGAAATTACTATTTGACCCTAGAGTAAGAAAAATACACAATTTCTGTAAAAAAAAAAAAAGTATATTGTTTCTCTTTGTAAATTCATCTTGCTTTAGAAATGATTCGTTTTTTTTATTGGAAAATAAGATCAAATAATAATATACTGAGTGTATATATATATATATATATATATATATAATTTTTTTTATTCTTTTTTGCTTTTTTGCATTTTACTTTCCTGTTTTTCTTTCAACTGAATTTGGTGGAAGAGTCAGATTGCGTTGCACAAATGATATGTGATTCCCTTCAAGTTTGCAAATTCCTTTTATATATTTGTTTTTCTTTGTCTTTAGACACCAGGTGCATGAGAAAGAAGAGTTTAAAGCACTAAAGACTCTCAACATCTTTTACCAAGCGGGAACCTCAAAGAACGGAAACCCTGTGTTTTACTATGTGACTCGCAGGTAAGCCTGACCATATGAAAATAATTAGAAAAACACTTGTTCTTTTGTTCAAAGTTTTATTGCTACAGAGAACAACCAATAAAGTAATAACAGATAGATCATTTAATCAACAAAGGGGAAATCTATGAAGATATTACAGCATTTTACAACAAAAAATTAAAGATACCCAGACTGCCTGCTGAATAATGGTGCGAATAGTAACAATATTTGAAATATTCTTAAGCAAAAAGCTGTTTGCACAACATCTATAAAACTTTGTAGCGTTTCAGAAACGGACTATTAAGTCTCTGAAGAATCTTACATGATTGTCTACCTTCGAAGCACAAGAGTTGATGGTCATTGTATGATCGGCAGAAAGCGCAGAGCCATGAACACAGACAGCAGAAGCTTGAAGAAGCAAGTCATGGAGGAAGAGGAGGAACTGCTAGCATGGGGGATAGGAGTTGTTTGTTTAGCGTTCTGGTTGATGTTGCTGTTGAAGTTGTTCATAATATTATTTGTGCTGCCGGAGGAACTGGCTGTAGTGGCGCCGTTCATGTTCTGGTTATTGCCATTGCCATTCTTGGTTGGGGCTGGTGTGGGTGAAGTAGAGCTATTGCTTGTGCTGTTGGCTGTGGGGTTGTTAGACGCAGTAGTGTTGGTCTGTGGATCAGTAGCCTGTATTTGGACCATCATACAGCCAGACATCACAACCAGCAGGACCACACAGATGTCCACCTTTAGAGCCATTTCTCTGATCTGAGGACAACACAGCAAAGCACAAAAATCATGTCACTTTTCTTTTTTTTTTTTTTTTAACACAAATATCATCAAATAAAGTTATTTTCAGATTTAAAAAAAAATAGATTCATTTATATTTATAGAAGGTTAAGCATCACTCAAAATTTAATGTTCAACACTTTGCAAATAAATCATTTAAAGCTGAAATGGTTCCCGCATACTCACCAGCACCAGCAGTGTTCAGCGTAAACGTGTTATATCTCTCCGAGTGGGGATGTGCAGTGTTTCCTAGACAGATGCAGATGCTTTTAATAATGACACCGGAGTAAGAGGTCACATGATTCTACGGGAAAGGAGGGTCAGTGATGGAAAGTTCATGTTCACAAGATTTCCTTTTTGTTTAACAAATTGTTTGTTTGCTTTTCATGATGAAGTATCATGGTAACATCACGGAAGACTGGCTTGTTTACTGCACAATATATCCAAATAGTTTTTTGTTGTTTTTTTTTAAGTTTAATGCCTTCATAGCTCGGTAACCTGAATTTATCAGTTTCAAAAATGTCTCCAGCCACGATAGTGAAGTCATCCTGTCAACGTGATCGGTAGTTTCTCCAAACTGGTTTAAGGTGTTGTCAAACTGTTTGTGACCATCTTGATCAAGTGTATTATATGTTATAACATGGTAGGTAGCTTTCTGGGCATTTCACTGACTGATTTATTTGTTTAAAGGGATACTTCAGGATTTAGCATTAAGCTTTTTATAAGTAGAAAACCTGTAGTATTTTCAAATTACCGTGCTTTCCCCCCTCATATCCCCCTGAGACGAGAGATTTATGTATTTTTTGTCTCCGATGACGCAAAAATCCTCATTTTGAGAGGCTAAAGACTCCAGTCAGTAGTCGGGTCTGTCCCGCATGTCCTCAACCCGCCCATAGAGGGCGATCTCACTCACAGAATGAACACATAGTGTCGGCCATCTTGTTTTGGAAGCTAAGCTAGCAGACTCTTGTTCTGTGGAGAAAGCTGAGTAGTCGGGGTTACCGTCCTCTTTTTCCCGTCGATGTCCGGGATTCAGCTTTTGCTTTTTCATTGTTTACATGCACAGCTTTTGTTTCAATCGAACTGAATTCGTTCCGATTGGTGAATCTGAATGTAAACGCTAAACAAGTGATCGGTTGATGTGCGTTTTAACATCGCTAAGAAAATCCCCGCTCCTCCGTGAGAGATACGAGAGCGGTGCGTCTCACAGGTGTCGCTCATGGGTAATCCCGCCGTTCTCCCGCGGCCCTCACTCGTCCCGCTCGCCACAGGAAACAGAATGAACGGCGACTGTAGAACGCAAATCGCGGACATTTTGGGCCATCTCCAAACACATTTTCAGGCGGACTCATCACTAGTAGCCTAGACTTGTTGTTTAACGACCGGTTAACGGTAGGCGTGGCCTCCTAGGGCAGCGAAGCAAGTGCATTCTGGTAGTTGTTGTCTTTCATCCACATAAGCCAAAAATAATTTTTTTTGGATTTTCTCAGTCTAGAAAGCTCAAAATTCACATTTCTTCTACATAAATGACCCATTTTAAATACACATACTCATCTTCCCAGTGGCGAAGTATCCCTTTAAATGAAATTTTACATGCAAAATATAATATAATATAACCCACAAAGAACAAGATGCTTTTTGTTCATGTTTATTATTTTAGTTTTTAGATTTATAGTAGGAATAACATGCATTTAAATTAACAGAAACGTTTTTAAACTAATTGGACTGTCAGTTAATCTGATTAACATTTCCGCATCCGTTCCATGTAAACGTGTATGTTATGATCCTGCATGGATCGAGATTAGAGCCAGACCGATATTATCGTCCGATATTAGGCATTTTCTATAATATCGGTATCGGCAGTCATAATGGCCGATGAATTAATATTTAATAAATAAAATAAAAACGAACGAAACACGCTTCAATCATCTCTCCTTGGCCTGTTATATTGAAAATGTATGTTTTACAATTTGCAGTATGATGTTATCTATTGCTAAATTATGGCTCATCATAGACTAGCTAACCATAAAGCTATAGCTAATGCCACTATCATCAGTGGAAGACCGCTAACGTTAACATTTAATGAGCTTGGAAACCACAATGAACTTTTTCCTAAATAAAGTAATGATTACTGTATTTATAACTAGAATATCTCTAGTTACAGTCCCTGCATTGTAAAATGTAAGTTATACTTGCGAGGAGTGAACATTTAGACATAGAGAAAAAGTATCAAACGTATCTCGTGCAGAAAAGTTAGCTTTTCTTTTACACGTGTGTGAAATCCAACAATATTTAATAAAAAAAAAAAAATATCGGCCGATATATCGGATTTTAAAACCCAAAATTATTTGTATCAGTATCGGCCTTCAAAATCCTTTATCGGTCGGGCTCTAATCCAGATGGAGGTTATACTGTGAGACCAAGTTTTCATGATATGTTGAACACAAAAGTGAAAAGTTTGATATCCGTTTGTTAACCTGATTTTTAGTATGGTCCAGTGTTGTTCTGGTGACCGTCAGAGCCGTAGTGTCACGGCCACCAGGGGCAGCAGACAGCAGACGGATGTGTAGAGTGAGCCACCACTGCGTCCCGAGCTCGTGTTTCTGCTGAGGTTCTGATTGGGTCTCTTCACGCTCCTCGTGCGGAGAGTGGTGGTCCTGCGGGTGGTGGAGATGGTGGTGGACTCGTCGACTGGTGTGATTGGGCCTTCTGTACTTTTTGAATCGGAAACCTCAGAAGTCGAGTCGTTCTTGGTGCTTCGGGATCCTTCCCAGGTGTTTAGGAGTGACGTCCCTGTCCAGGAGTGTGTGGTGACCGCTTGTACATAGGGATGGCTTGGCTCCTCTGTTCCAAAGACGTACGGGGACAGTGTGTAGGTGCCAAAGTGCCTGGACATGTGAGCTTCTCCGCAGGTGTGCCAGGTGTGGCAGGGGCAGCCCAACACTCTGGCGGAAGTGTGTTTGGTCCACAGCACCAGGTGGCTGATGTTGGCGGTTTCTTCACAAGCCCACGGATTGTCCCCGAGAGTAATGAGCTTCAGACCTTGCAGATGCTCGAATGCCCCTTCGCTGACCATAGTAAAGTGATTTGCATGCAGGTAGAACTGAGCCAGCCTGTGTAGCCGGATCAGGGACCCCGGCAGGATCTGGACCAGAGTGTTGTGGGATAGATCCACCACCTCCAGGTTTTGGGGCATGTTGGTGGGCACGGTCCAGAACTTGTTATGACTGAGGTTGAGAGCCTTCAGGTTGGGGAGTGTGTTGTTGATGAAGACCACACGCTCCAGCTTGTTGACGGACAGGTCCAGAACTCTGAGGTTCCACTGGAATGCCGTGTCATCCTTGTGTAGTACACGTAGGCGGTTTCCCGAGATGTTGATCTCCCACAGCGCCCGTGGCAGGGATGCTGGGAAATGAAGAAGACGGTTATAGGAGATGTCCAGGATGCGCAGATGTGTGAAGGAGCTCAGGTGGTGGTCAAGGTCAGATAGCCGATTGTGAGTCAGATTGAGGGATTGGATGTTTCTCTGCAGGCCCGTCGGCAGATGCCGAAACCCCCTCCAGGAACAGTCAACGGTCCTATGGCTCTCGCTACACGAGCAAGCGGCGGGACATTCTGCATGCACGCATGTACACGTTAACCATAGTAAGAGCAGGCAGGGCATCACCGAACTCGCGCGCATCTTCATGGTGTTCCTGTGGACAACGGCAAGAGGTTTGTTTGTTACAAGCGTGCAGAATGCATCTAATGTAGTGCTGTCAAACGATTAAAATATTTAATCACGATTATTTGCATTAATGTCATAGTTAACTCTCGATTAATCGCATAAATGCTATAGCTAACTCGCGATTAATCGCATTAATGCCATAATTAACTCGCGATTAATCGCATTAATGCCATAGTTAACTTGTGATTAATCGCATTTATGCCATAGTTAACTCGCGATTAATCGCATTAATGTCATAGTTAACTCGCGATTATTCGCATTAACGCCATAGCTGACTCTCGATTAATCGCATTAATGCCACAGTTAACTCGCGATTAATCGCATTAATGCCAATTCAGGACACAGTTCAGACGAAATAAAAAGATAAGTTGTCTCTCGCCATTGACTACCGCACATTTTTTTCCCGAAATTAGGTCCCATGAGCCGGAAGCGGAGGCTCTCTATTCACTTAGGCTCTCTATTCAGATTAATGTAAAGATGCGTATGAGTAATGACTATGAGTAATGCATTTTGCAGAGCATGCCCGCTGTCTGTTAATACTACTGATTGAGTTTGAATGCAGAAATCTGACAAATGAATGATGATTGTGACTAATGCAATCCAGGTCTGATAGTAATGAGAGTAGACGGTCTCATTTTAATGCAGATGAGAGTTAGTGACTTTAGTGAGTCTGATGTTTTGTAATGACTGATTGGGTCTGATGACCACGGGTCTGACTATATTGAGTAGTGCAATTTGTGTCTGATTACAGTTTGTTAACACAGTCTGATGAAGTCTGATTACAGAAAGTCTGATAAATAAGTAATTGCAGTGATTTTTGTGCCTGATTATTATGTAGGTGAAAGTTAGTGTCTGACCTTGGTGAGTCTGATGGCGAGGCTGAGGCTGTTTAATCAGATTAATGTGAGTGAGATCAATGAATCTGATTATTGTTAGTGATGATAATGAATCTGATTATAGTTAGTGATGGCCGTGAGACTGGCTTTGAGTCTTATTCATTATCATTGTGATCTCTGGTTTTTAATTTTTAAAGTGTTTTGCCTTATTTGTTTGCAGTTTTGAGGCTAGCCGTTGCATAAATCTGATTCACATGCAGCAGAGATGCTGAAGGTCTTCATGCAGTGTCTCTGCAGATCTAGTTCTGCTCGACTCTCTAAGCATGTGCTTTGACAAAAACAGCATTTATATATAATGTGCTTACATGCTTGTTCATGTCATGCCACAAAACCTGGAAATAACTGATCGTGCGTGTAATATTTCTTGAGATATTGTGAATTACTTACCTTCTACTTGGCATCACTCTGTGCTCCTTTTTCCTGTCCTGTTTCAGTGTCTCTCCATCCCTCAACTCTTTCTTTCTGCTTGGTCTCAGCACGACTATAATCTCTTATATTCTATTCTTTCTGTGCTTTGTGCTGCAGTAAAGTCCAAATAGGTCCCTTTCGGGGATCACTAAGATAGTGGAGGAGAGAGGAAGAGGCGGGGAGGGGAGATGTTGTAGAGGCTGCTCTGGTACAGAGAGAGAGAGAGAGAGAGAGAGGAGGGGGGAGCGAGGGGAGGAAGTGCTGACATCTCCCTTTCCTCTTTAGGATTCCCTCATTCAGCATCCATTTCCTCTGCTTTCTTCTTTCTTTTCTGCACCCCCCCCCCCCCCCCCCTCCATCCTGCTTGCTTTCTTCTTTTTTTCATTAAGCAACACTTAACCTGGTTCATATATTAGTGCTGGGCAACATACACCCACCTAAGGGAGTATTAGGAACACCATACTAATACTGTGTTGCCTAATAGAAATGTTGGCCCATATTGATAGGATAGCATCTTGCAGTTGATGGAGATTTGTGGGCACGAAGCTCCCGTTCCACCACATCCCAAAGATGCTCTATTGGGTTGAGATCTGGTGACTGTGGCGGCCATTTTAGTCCAGTCAACTCATTGACATGTTCAAGAAACCAATCTGAAATGATTCATGGTGCATTATCCTGCTGGAAGTAGCCATCAGAGGATGGGGACATGGTGGCCATGAAGGGATGGACATGGTCAGAAACAAGCTCAGGTAGGCCGATGCCCAATTGGCACTAAGGGGCCTAAAGTGTGCCAAGAAAACATCCATTACACCACCACCACCAGCCTGCACAGTGGGAACAAGGCATGATGGATCCATGTTCTCATTCTGTTTACACCAAATTCTGACTCTACCATCTGAATGTCTCAACAGAAATCGAGACTCATCAGACCAGGCGACATTTCTCCAGTCTTCAACTGTCCAGTTTTGGCGAGCTCTTGCAAATTGTCGCCTCTTTTTCAGCTTGTATCAGTCGGCCCGTTCTCCTTTCGCATTTTGGCCCACAGGACTGCCATCGCATGCTGGATGTTTTTCCCTTTTCACTCCATTCTTTGTAAACCCTAGAAATGGTTGTGTGTGAAAATCCCAGTAACAGAGCAGATTGTGAAATACTCAGACACCAACAACCATTGCTTAAATCCCCTTTTCTTTCCCATTCTGACATTCAGTTTGGAGTTCAGGAGATTGTCTTGACCAGGACCACACCCCTAAATGCATTGAAGACACTGCCATGTGATTGGTTGATTAGATAATTGCATTAATGAGAAAGTGAACAGGTGTTCCTAATAATCCTTTAGGTGAGTGTATGTGTATATATATATATAAAATTATATCTATTTTATCTAATATTACATTAGGTTAATCAGATTATGCTGTCAGTTCTCACTGAAAGTACAGTACCAACAAATTTGACCAGTTTTAAACCAGTTTTTACCACAAATCCACCTAAAATTCATAATTTAAAACCCTGATACCGGAACAGTTCTTGGTTAAGTTTAGTACAATTCTCAGCACGCTTTTTGGTAACTGATTTAAAACTTCCTCACCTTCATGTTTTTGGCTGGATAAGTGTGTGTGTGCATGTGTGTTTTGAGCAAAAGAGCGCTAGTACAGAACCTTTTCAGTGCCACTCTCCATCTTTCTCTCCCTCTTTCTTCCTCAATCTCCTCATTCTTTCCAAGCCTGCTAATGCTGCCCAGTAATGCCCCATCCTCTGCTTACTAATTTAGCTGTGAATGTTGTTGTATTCGTGTTGTATTTGTGTGCATAATGCAGAAATGGCATCGTCAAACTGTTTTGCATCTGTGCTCAGCTCTAATTTTACATGTGCTGTCTAGATTCTTTCCCTCAGTTTAATGATTTGTTCATCTAATTCTGTTTTAGTGGAGCTCAATGTTGTTGCTGTTTTATATGTTAGTCAGGCAGATTTGGATGTTAAAAAGAAAGCCAGCTGGAGACTAGAGAAGATTGTTATCACCACATGAAGTTTAATCTTTTTTACATGTAATCAACTTTCCATTGTTTATTTATATATTTTTTGTTTATTTAAAAAAAAAACAGGTTATTGCTACTTAAAATACAGGTGAAGAAAACTGAAATTACCTTTTTAAAGTAAAACCACACAATCTCTAAATAATGTAATATCTCTCATTTGTTCATTCAAGTCATGTAAAGTGAAGTGTTTGCATGTGCGGGACACGATGGTGTTGTCTGCAAGTAGAATTTGTTAAATCAGAATTTGTTTAATTAAAAAAGTCGAGGGTAAGTATTCGAGAGTGTGCCTTGTGTTCGCTGGCATCCTTGTGTTTAACCCTAAAACCGTATTCTGGACAAATGTGGGCAAAATAGTTTTTATTTATTTTTTAAAAAATACTTCCCTTGATCGGAGCGGTACAAGACTTGGCTACTTTTCCTAAGTTTGCCTCCTGAACACACACAATTTTTTTTTTTTTTTTTGGACTCAATTCTACAATGTTAATTGTTAAAACTCCTTAATCTTGTAGCTATTTGGGTCAAAAATGGGCACCCATAGAAATGAATGGGAAAAACTGTAATTTAGAGCATTCTAAAATAAGCCAAAATAAGACACCAGGTGACCGCAAAGTCATTTCATCTTTAGGTTTTAGCTCTAAGAACTTATTGGAATGATATTTTAATGCAGTTAAAAAAATAAAACATAAAAATAAGACAAATTTACATAGAAAATATGGTTCTTTTTGATGTAAATAAATTCAAAAATACCCCCAAAATTAAAAAAACACCATAAATGGATAGACAAAACTTTATCGAAGACAGTGATCTAACATTAGGATCACACCTGAGTCCTCTGTGCCCACAATTACAGGATTATATGGTTTGAGGGCTAATGAAGGTCTTTGTTGTGTTGCTTGAGGGCGATGCTCTCATAAACATCCCTATTTTCCTGCTTATTCTTTTGGGTTTTCCCATTCGTCATCTCTATTGCAGTGTTTAGACTGCAGGTCTGCCAGACTGAACGATATGTTCCACACAGTAGAGGGTGACCCGCCACCCACATGTTGTTGTTCCTCCAATGCCGGGTCTGCCATATTTTCCATACGACCCGAAGCAAGATTACAATTATCAGCAGGATGAGGCACCCAAGAGTGAAGAGTAATCCAAACATTCCTCTGTGGGTTTGCTTGTCATGTATTATTGCAGTATCAGCTGATTTGTGTGTTGGAGTAATAAATGTCTTGGAATTTGAGACCTTTTGTGTTTTTGACATCATCTTACGAGTCGTCTTACTCAGTTTGCGTCCAATTGTGCTTTGCGTTGGTTTTGATTTTGTTTGGTTGGCGTGATTTTCCTTTGCCACTGTATCTGCTGTAGGTTCTTGATTCGTCAAGCCCGATCGAGGCCCTGTTGTTTCAGTGGGCTGTACATTGGACCGTTTTGTTGATATCCAGGATGGAATTTCCTGGGTTTTTAATGTCAGAAATCCAACTGATGTTGTAAGAATATGGTTTTCTGAAGGTTTTGGATTTGGAGCGAATGTCACAGTGAAGACTGGAATAGTTTGAGACGATCGGACTCTATCTTTGGGAGCTTGAGTTGATGTGTCCTTTACTAACTGGACACTTGTATGGGACATTATTGTGCCAAAGATGGGATATTTGTTTGTTATGCTCTGTGATTGTGTTTTTGGATTAATCTGATTGGTTCTGAATGGTGCAGCAGATGATGTGTCCCCTGGTTCTCTCGAGTCAACTAAATGGTGTGATGTGGAATCGGTTTTTCTGCTTGCGGATGAACCTTTTGTTAATATGCGAGTTGTCATGAAGTGTTGCATTAAACTGTCTCTTGAAGATTTTGCGGTATTGATTGCATTTTGTTGAGTGTGTTGATTTGTTGGCTCTTCTGCTGGTGTGGGTTTGTGAGGTTCTGGATCTGCCGTGAACCCATTGATATGTGAAATGGGGCTTTCTACTGTGAGAAGTGAAGTAGAGTCTTGGATTTGTTGCTTCAATGTGAATGAAGGTTCAGTCATTTTCTGTTTAGAGATTGTTAATTGTTCAACTAGTTGGGAATCTCCTGATTGGGTTGTTTTCGGTGAGTGTGTTGGGAGAGATCCCATGGCTGTAGAGTCCTTAGTATCAGTAATACCAGTGAAATGGCCGATTCGTTCATGAATGATGGTTGAAGAAGATTCCTCCGCTGCTTTAGAGGAGATTTTGATTGCTAATGTTGTGGGATCAGGGATGTGTTTCTCTTGACTGGGTTCTGAGATTTCCTGCTTGGATTGCTGGAGATGTTGAGTTGATTGTTGAGTGAATAGTTGTGGTGTGTAATTTTTTATTGTAAATGTTGTGGAATCAGGGAGGAGTTGATTTGTGTGTTGATTTGTTGGCTCTTCTGCTGGTGTGGGTTTGTGAGGTTCTGGATCTGCCGTGAACCCATTGATATGTGAATTGGGGCTTTCTACTGTGAGAAGTGAAGTAGAGTCTTGGATTTGTTGCTTCAATGTGGATGAAGGTGGCGTAGGTTTTGGATCTCTCCGATTTGTGGCCGTCACAAACTGGTTGGGCTTCCCATTGTGCCAAGTTACAGAATGTGTGTCTGAAGCAGTTTCTAGAAGTTCAAGCTGGACTGCTGATGAACTTAAAGTTGGGGTTTTGGTCCTTGCAGGTAGAGTGGGTCTTAAAATGCCTTTATCCATCCCAGTGATGACTCTTCTTGAATGTTCATGCTTCATTGTTTGTAGAAGTGAAGTGCGTCGCAGGCTGGGGGTTTCCCTTGTTGAGGCAAGCATGCCATGGTTTGTGATGTGTGAGTTTATGGTGGTCTCTAGTGGAGTTTCCTTTTCATTTCTGTATTCTGTGGATATCAGTGGAAATTTGGGTCTCTGGAAATGCTGTGTTGATTGTTTTGGCTGATCAGTCGGGAAAGACATTATAGCTGGAGAATCAGGTGTACCAGTCATATCAGTAAAACCTTCAATTTGGTCATGTATGGTAGTTGGAGAGAGTTCCTTCACTACTTTAGAGGAGATTTTGATTGCTAATGTTGTGGGATCAGGGATGTGTTGCTCCGTAACTTGACTGGGTTCAGTCATTTTCTGTTTAGAGATTGTTAATTGTTCAACTAGTTGGGAATCTCCTGATTGGGTTGTTTTCGGTGAGTGTGTTGGGAGAGATGCCATGGCTGTAGAGTCCTTTGTATCAGTAATACCAGTGAAATGGCCAATTCGTTCATGAATGATAGTTGAAGAAGATTCCTCTGCTGCTTTAGAGGAGATTTTGATTGCTAATGTTGTGGGATCAGGGATGTGTTGCTCCGTGCCTTGACTGGGTTCAGACATTTTCTGTTTAGAGATTGTTAATTGTTCAACTAGTTGGGAATCTCCTGATTGGGTTGTTTTCGGTGAGTGTGTTAAAGATCCCATGGCTGTAGAGTCCTTTGTATCAGTAATACCAGTGAAATGGCCAATTCGTTCATGAATGATAGTTGAAGAAGATTCCTCCGCTGCTTTAGAGGAGGTTTTGATTGGTAATGTTGTGGGATCAGGGATGTGTTCCTCTTGACTGGGTTCTGAGATTTCCTGCTTGGATTGCTGGAGATGTTGAGTTGATTGTTGAGTGAATAGTTGTGGTGCTCCTGACTGAGAGTTATTTTGTGGCTCTTGTGGTGTCGGTTCAGTCGGGAAAGACGTTATAGATGGAGAATCAGGTGTACCAGTCATATCAGTAAAACCTGCAATTTGGGTGTATATGGTAGTTGGAGAGAGTTCCTTCACTACTTTAGAGGAGATTTTGATTGTGAATGTTGTGTAATCAGGAGTGTGTTGCTCCGTGACTTGACTGGGTTCAGTCATTTTCTGTTTAGAGATTGTTAATTGTTCAACTAGTTGGGAATCTCCTGATTGGGTTGTTTTCGGTGAGTGTGTTGGGAGAGATCCCATGGCTCTAGAGTCCTTTGTATCAGTAATACCAGTGAAATGGCCGATTCGTTCATGAATGATGGTTGAAGAAGATTCCTCCGCTGCTTTAGAGGAGATTTTGATTGCTAATGTTGTGGGATCAGGGATGTGTTCCTCTTGACTGGGTTCTGAGATTTCCTGCTTGGATTGCTGGAGATGTTGAGTTGATTGTTGAGTGAATAGTTGTGGTGTGTAATTTTTTATTGTATATGTTGTGGAATCAGGGAGGAGTTGATTTGTGTGTTGATTTGTTGGCTCTTCTGCTGGTGTGGGTTTGTGAGGTTCTGGATCTGCCGTGAACCCATTGATATGTGAATTGGGGCTTTCTACTGTGAGAAGTGAAGTAGAGTCTTGGATTTGTTGCTTCAATGTGGATGAAGGTGGCGTAGGTTTTGGATCTCTCCGATTTGTGGCCGTCACAAACTGGTTGGGCTTCCCATTGTGCCAAGTTACAGAATGTGTGTCTGAAGCAGTTTCTAGATCTTCAAGCTGGACTGCTGATGAACTTAAAGTTGGGGTTTTGGTCCTTGCAGGTAGAGTGGGTCGTAAAATGCCTTTATCCATCCCCGTGATGACTCTTCTTGAATGTTCATGCTTCATTGTTTGTAGAAGTGAAGTGCGCCGCAGGCTGGGGGTTTCCCTTGTTGAGGCAAGCATGCCATGGTTTGTGATGTGTGAGTTTATGGTGGTCTCTAGTGGAGTTTCCTTTTCATTTCTGTATTCTGTGGATATCAGTGGAAATTTGGGTCTCTGGAAATGCTGTGTTGATTGTTTTCTTTGTGATGGCCGATCAGTGTGGAAAGACGTTATAGCTGGAGAATCAGTTTTACCAGTCATATCAGTAAAACCTTCAATTTGGTTGTATATGGTAGTTGGAGAGAGTTCCTTCACTACTTTAGAGGAGATTTTGTTTGTGAATGTTGTGGAATCAGGGATGTGTTGCTCCGTGACTTGACTGGGTTCAGTCATTTTCTGTTTAGAGATTGTTAATTGTTCAATTAGTTGGGAATCTCCTGATTGGGTTGTTTTCTGTGAGTGTGTTAAAGATCCCATGGCTGTAGAGTCCTTTGTATCAGTAATACCAGTGAAATGGCCGATTCGTTCATGAATGATAGTTGAAGAAGATTCCTCCGCTGCTTTAGAGGAGATTTTGATTGCTAATGTTGTGGGATCAGGGATGTGTTCCTCTTGACTGGGTTCTGAGATTTCCTGCTTGGATTGCTGGAGATGTTGAGTTGATTGTTGAGTGAATAGTTGTGGTGTGTATTTTTTTATTGTATATGTTGTGGGATCAGGGAGGAGTTGATTTGTGTGTTGATTTGTTGGCTCTTCTGCTGGTGTGGGTTTGTGAGGTTCTGGATCTGCCGTGAACCCATTGATATGTGAATTGGGGCTTTCTACTGTGAGAAGTGAAGTAGAGTCTTGGATTTGTTGCTTCAATGTGAATGAAGGTGGCGTAGGTTTTGGATCTCTCCGATTTGTGGCCGTCACAAACTGGTTGGGCTTCCCATTGTGCCAAGTTACAGAACATGTGTGTGAAGCAGTTTCTAGAAGTTCAAGCTGGACTGCTGATGAACTTAAAGTTGGGGTTTTGGTCCTTGCAGGTAGAGTGGGTCTTAAAATGCCTTTATCCATCCCAGTGATGACTCTTCTTGAATGTTCATGCTTTATTGTTTGTAGAAGTGAAGTGCGTCGCAGGCTGGTGTTTGCCCTTGTTGAGGCAAGCATGCCATGGTTTGTGATGTGTGAGTTTATGGTGGTCTCTAGTGGAGTTTCCTTTTCATTTCTGTATTCTGTGGATATCAGTGGAAATTTGGGTCTCTGGAAATGCTGTGTTGATTGTTTTGGCTGATCAGTCGGGAAAGACATTATAGCTGGAGAATCAGGTGTACCAGTCATATCAGTAAAACCTTCAATTTGGTTGTATATGGTAGTTGGGGAGAGTTCCTTCACTACTTTGGAGGAGATTTTGTTTGTTAATGTTGTGGAATCAGGGATGTGTTGCTCTGTGACTTGACTGGGTTCAGTCGAGATTGTTAATTGTTCAACTAGTTGGGAATCTCCTGATTGGGTTGTTTTCGGTGAGTGTGTTGGGAGAGATGCCATGGCTGTAGAGTCCTTTGTATCAGTAATACCAGTGAAATGGCCAATTCGTTCATGAATGATAGTTGAAGAAGATTCCTCCGCTGCTTTAGAGGAGATTTTGATTGGTAATGTTGTGGGATCAGGGATGTGTTGCTCCGTGACTTGACTGGGTTCTGGTATTTTTTGTGTTGTCTGGAGTCGTTGAGGTGATTTTTTGTCTTGTTGTGAATCTCCTGATTGAGTTGTTTTCTGTAAATCTGATAATGACGGGTCGGTGGGGAAAGATGCCATAACTGTAATCCCAGTGGAGTGAGTGTTTTGTTCCTGTGTGGGAGCTGAAGATGGTTCATCCTCTGCTTTGAAGACGATCTCCGTGTTCTTTGGCCCTTCTGATGTCATAGATTCCAGTTTGTCCGGTGTCATTGTTGATGGTCTGATGGGGTTTGTATCGTTGGAAACTTCATTCAAAAGTCTCCATAAAACATACAGAGCATAAGCCTTTTCTGGTAAACGTAATGCATCTGGTGGGTGAAAGTTCTGCCTTCGCACTCGTGACCCCTTCACACCGTCTCCACCCTTCCACTCGTTCGTGTGGTCGGAGGTTGTGGTCGAAGAGATGCTTAATGACAGCAAAATGGCAGGTAACAGAAAAATGAACAAATAACGTCTTAGTAGGTCCATGTTAAATATGATATTTTATCACTGTAGAGAAAGAAAACAGTTGTAAAACACATTATATCTTAGATATTTGGGAGATTGTCCCTGTAATACAGTAGATACACAGTAACATTGTCCATTCACACAACCAACAACTTTGCTTTAGTTTAGTTTAATTACTACTGAGTGTGTGTGTAAGCTCAGTGATAGCAAATATTTGATATTTTATCACTTTAGTTTAGAGAGAAAGTTGTAAAAGATTTAATTATTTTTTAGATAAAATAAAATATTGTTTCTTTGGGAGATTATCCCTGTAATACAGTACGTATACAATAACTTTGTCCTAAGTTTAAACTACTGTGCTTCAGTTTAATTATTACTGTTTTATGTATATATATATATATATATATATGAAGACTTCAGATGCAAAAGCCTCTAAGTGCCATTTGAAATTTTCTTCTAGAATGATCATTTTTATCAAGCTTGTATATTTAAGTTCAGTGATTTCACTTAAATGGCAATGATAATTACCTATTAATTGTTATTTAAATGAAATTACTGAACTTAAACATACAAGTTTGATAAAAAATCATCATTAAAGAAGAAAATTTCAAATGGCATTTAGAGGCTTTTGCATCTGAACTCTTCATATATATATATATATATATATATATATATATATATATATATATATATATATATATATATGTACATTTTATAATGGTTGCACTTTATTTTACAGTATGGGCACTTGCTTGTACAGTGCAATTACCTATTATTAAGAAAGTACTGAGAAATATAAGGTAACTACATGGGTTAACTCAGTTATTGCAATTACTATAATAAATACATAGTATCTACATGGGGAACGGGACTGTAAAATAAAGTGCAACCTTTATAATTATTATCATAATTTTTTTTTAAACATCATCAATATTGCAAATACTTCAGTGAAGAACTGTTAAACTCCTTGCATTATACTTGTGAAGTATTGATTTATTTTTCTCGTCATTAAAGTTATTATTATTATTATTATTATTTCAATACTACTTAACGGTATGTTGACTTCAATGCTGCTTACAACGTTTACTTATCTGTTATCTTTTTTTTCTTTTTTTTGGACAAATTACTCTCAAATATTAAAGTTTCTCTGACAAAATGTTTCTTACCATTTTAAGGCTGTTCTTGTGTCTACCAGCACAAGTTAGAGGAGGCGATCCATTCATCAACTGTCCTGGATGGGTTTCTGTTTTTCTATGTATAACAGACTGAGAATATATACCACTAGATCACGTGATGACACGCTGAGTGTGAATGAACAGCAGAAATATTGGGTGTGACTGTAAGATGATGTATTTTCTCACGGTCCTGTGATGCTGCAAAATGTAATGGTGTGAATTGAATCAATCTTAATGTTACCAAAATGTTGATTCAGAGGAGAAACACCAGTTCCCAGGGTTGAAATAAAGACAAAAACAAAACTGCAGACAATTAAAAAAAATTTTTAATTTATTTTCATCTTTAAAACATGATGTTTACTCGAGAAGCAAAATCTGACTGATTTCAGAGAATATAGCTTAGTTTGTTCCTCAAGTATAAACATCTAATTTAAGGATGTTTAGACTTATTAAGAAAACAATTTTTTGACAGAATATCAAAATACAGACATTATTTAAAACGCAACATAAATGCTTTTGGCTGTTGAAACATGCATATTCATACAATGTTGAGAGTTTACAAAGGCTTATTTGCTGTATTTTCAGTGCTGACATTTAGTCATTTTTATATAATTTTAAACCGTCAAGTCACAAATATTTATATAGCGCTTTTTACAATACAGATTGTTTCAAACAGGGAAAAAATGCAACAAAGTCTGTTTCCAGAAGAAAATAGCGTCACGGTCAAGCTGATGTTTCATTTTTATTGTAAAAAAAAAAAAAAAAGATTAATTTAGTTAATTTA